TTATTAAAGCGGTATTGAACTTTTGCTTGTTGTTACGTGCAAAGCTACAGACGCGCCGTCAGCAGGAGCAGGCAAAATCGGAGATGCTAAGCCAAAAACAAGACAAAAAAAAGCGTGGTAAAAAAGGAAACATATCACACTTCATTTAGGTAAGCAGGCCATAAACTTCTGCACTTTTGTTTTTGTAAAACACTTCAGTATAGGAAGTGCGCGGTCACATATGTATGTACATACATACTTCCATATATACATTTGGGTATGCACTTATGCAAAGCAAGAATTCGCACGAATTTTCGTTGACTAGCTGTCGCCGCTACTTCCACTGAGTGATGAGGGCAATTCCATTTGAAAAATTTTAGCATCGCATTTGTTCTACTTCAATTTGCTTCTGCTTCAGTTTGGTTCTACTTCAGCTTTGTTCTGTTGTTCTTTATCCTATCGTGCGGCATTCATTCGTATGACAAAACCTTTCGTGAGTGTAGCAGTTGTGTTGTTATGGGAGTGAAGGAAAGGTACAGTGCTTAAAATGAGAGCTGCTGGCTTGCAAGCGATTTATGTAGTGCTTGTGCAGCTGTTTAGTACGTACATATATTCATAAATATTTAATTCAATAGATCGGTCTTGTGTCGTCTACAAAGGTGTACCGAGCGCTCATTTACCTGCTGCACATAGTGATGCATTACAAGTTCCAAATCATCCATCCGAACTCGAAACTGTCTATGATTGCAAACAGTCTATGGCAACGCCATTACCACTTGATGATGGATCTGATTACATTCCGATTGAAAACAATTTACCGTCTTTCATATCCTAAGAACCCCTAAACAGCATGGTGCGTAAATTAAATCTCTCCCATAACAACGCAATGATTTTGGCATCAGAACTGAAAAGCGTGAATGTTTTAGCACCAGGAGTAAAAATAACGGCCTACAAACATAGACAAGATCCGTTTATGCCATATTTCAAGTTATCGGAAGATGGCACTCAGGCTTTTTGCATTTATGTTGCAGGTTTGATGAATTAAATGGGAATTACTGACTATAAACCCGAACAATGGCGTCTCTTTATTGACGCATCAAAGCGAAGTTTGAAAGCAGTCTTGCTCTATCGGGATAGTAGCAAGAAACCCGTTCCCATCTTGTATGCGGTTGGAATAAAAGAATCATACGAAACAATGCAATTAGTCCTAGATTGCATCAAGTACAAAGAGCACAGGTGGCGCGTGAACTGTGATTTTAAAGTTCTCTCACTACTATCAGGCATGCAAACGGGCTACACTAAATACTGTTGTTTGTTCTGTCATTGGGATAGTAGAGCCAAATGCAATCACTATACCAAATGTGATTGGCCAAAAAGAAAGGAAAAATCGATTGTTCAGTTCAGTATAGTTCACGAGCCCTTGATAGCGCTTAATAAAATCATGCTTCCCGATTTACATATCAAACTTGGTGTTGTTAAGAATTACATTAAACAGTTGGTTAGAGTCAACGAAACTGCATTCCTATATTTGAAAAATAATGCCTTTCTAAAACTTTCCGTTGAAAAAATCCGTGAAGGTAGTTTTTTGATAGTATATGAGTGCAAATCTCTCAAGTGGTTGTAAACCGAATAAAGTGATTTGTGTGAAAATATCTTGACCGTCCAATTTTGGGTGGCCCATTTGAGAGATTTTCGCTCATATATTTTATTATATCTCTCTCTTGCTTTAAGAACCCTATAATTTTTATTTCAGGTGTGCTTAATGGGCCGGACATCAGTGTTGTGTAAATAGCTTTTATTCCATTCCATATTCTATATTATACTATACCTGTTTTACAACACTCAATGTACATTCAGTTATGCAACACTAATAGTTACCTCAATATACTCTGTATTCCAATATGTATGTATACTAATACTCTTTCCAATATATGTACTTACTCGCTACTATTCGATCCACTTATTGGTACATGAATGATTAATAAAGAAGATCTTAAACTTACAACATGGTCTCAGATTTCTGAACCAAAAAATTAGTAAAGAGTAACGTTGAATCAGCATTTAGTATATTATATTGCATAAAAAGTATCATAATGAGTCCAGGTGAATCTGATAAGGCGAAAAATTCAGCGAATCTAAGCGCAAATTCTTCACAGCAGGCGACGCAGAAAATGCTGTCGATATCAACCACCATAGTGCCTATGAACCTGAAGGCTTCTAATCTCGCGGCAACGTGGAAAACTTGGAAGACACAAGTTGATATATTCATGATGGCATCGGGACTAGACCAGCAGTGTGACCAAAGAAAAGTTGCATTGCTTCTGCATCATTTGGGGCCTGATGCATTGGACATTTTCCAGTCATTCGGCACTGATGTTGACAGCGTTAAGTATACAGATCTTTTGCTGAAGTTTAACTCTTATTTCGTTCCGAAAGCTAACATTGCCATGGAGAGACACTTGTTTTTTACCAGACATCAAGGTAACAATGAGACCATTGATGAATACGTAACCAGTTTAAAAAATATGAGTCAAACATGTGAATTCGGCACATTAAGAGACAACTTAGTTCGAGATATTTTTGTGTGTGGCCTTGGTGCAAATTTTTTTAAAATTAAAGAGCGTCTACTAAGCGAAGGCGATATCAGTTTGGAACG